ATTAGAATTGTAGAATGATAGTGGTTAGAATGATTTACTTATTTAGTGTGTTTTAATTCAAATTATTCTATTTGTATATTTTAATTACTTTACTTATTTACGGGACTGTAGGGTCCTAGACTCCGGTTCAGTTTACTGTGAATAGAGCATATTTGATTCTAGATGAATAATATAATAATAATTAGACATGTAGTAAAATTATTCTGATTCTTCTATAAAATATTGAAGTTAGTTTCTAAAAGCAGGGTTACAGTAGGTTTTCAGGTGTAAGAAATTTGCTCTTCTGATTGAAGGCAATAGAAAAGGGTTTCACAAAACAGGGAACTAGTGATGCTATAAGCACAGACCTACTCACATAGTTTGTATGTGTTATGTAAAATTGTAATGCAGTAATTATTTTACTAATTATGTTCTTATAACATTTCAGTCATCTTGTGCAAATCTTTCTTCAAACTCCTTGAATCCAACACCCCATGACAATTTTCTAGTACTTTCTAAAACTCACTTTAAAAGTAAAATTGATCTTTTAGTTGCGTTCACGTCCATTGATGAGCTTAGCTGTGAATATATTAATTGGGATGACATAATAGTATTTTTTGCCGCAGCAAGAATTCTCAAAAGTTTCTTTAACTCAAAGAAAACCTTTCACCGTTACACTCAATGATTAAACAAAATTCTCAAAATTAAAAAACTTACAGAAGTGTGTAATAATTCGAGATCTTTTCAATTATCGTGATGGTTTACTTTTCATTCTTGTAATATTTATATTGTAGATATTGTATTTTTATGTATATTTTCTCAAGTTTTCTCTTCTCTTTAGTCCCGTATTATTTTAATTGAAAGAAGGCTTTGAGTATCATAAAAGATAAAATTTTCTTATGAAACTTTTTGGGGTATATTTAGAGCCATGATGTGTCAGTGGGGAGGAGAAGGGAGGGGATAACTATATAAATATAACTAACTATAATGAGGAGCAAAATAAAATGATTGAGGCACATTTGGAGAATATTTAATTTATGCAGGAAACTAATTAACAATCAGTTAATATAAGTGCTTCCCAGAGCAACAGATGTTAGAGAAAATGCGGTAGGAAGGGGGTGAATCGAACAAGAAAGCCATTTTTATAGGAAGAAAATTGTAAGTGTAATACATTTTTGATGTCTGTTGGGGAGAAAATACACATATTGTGGGAAATGCTGGTGTTGACAATATTTGACTCGGCTTGCATGTGTAGTTTTCTTGAAATTTTTTTTATTTTGTTACAGGGTCATGATAGATATTGTTAATGTGGATAAAAATCCTTTTGAAGAAATGTCTGTAACATTCTGTAAATTACATTAAATTAATTAAAAAGTAATATTTGTTTTCATTTTTTGTACCAGCATTAGGAGGTCAACATGGATTTGGATTGCTGTCTTCAAGCTCAACACTTTCGAAACCATCTTTATCTTCAGGTAACCCTTTAGCCCAGTAGATGTAGGTTCATACACTTATTAGGATGGGAAAGTAAATCCTGGAAAATTATTATGTCATTTGTGGTGTATTAATTAGTTACCTCTTTTCAAGGTCTGAACTGGATTCTTTGAAATATTTTTATGAGAGGTCTGTAAAAATTATTAATTCTTACATACATTTCCGTTAGGAAAGATAATTGAAGTTTGTATTTTGTAGCAAAATAATCCTGAATATTGTACGTCAGAATAATGTAAAATGAGTATTTTCTTTATAACAGGTAGAGGGTATTATGAGAATAATTTTCATGTATTCCTGCTGGTAAAATATTTTTTATATTAGAAATAAGATACTTATGATGTACATATTTTGTTAGAATGATTTTCATTGGCCCAATGAACAAAGTTTTTTTGAAAACTAACTCTCCTATAAAAAATGTTAGGTATGATGAAGAAGATTAAAAATGAAACAATGAACTGAATTATTTGCAATGATTGTGAAAATACTTTATCAGAATTTTGCTGATAATCCTGTTTTGTGATGCAGGTATGGCACTATTAGAATACCTGCTTTGTTGCTTTAATTATGTTATCTTTTGTATCTTTTTGATTTGTGAGGTTGTTTGTGTTGCTGCAAGAGGCTATTTTTGAAATATTAGTTACTCATTATTGTTTTTGATTTTATGTATCTTGAGAGATTGCCTCCATTAACGGCCCATTGTATTTATTTTCTTTTATGTAAGTTTAACTATGGTATATTTTGCTTGAGTGATGTGGTTGTAATAAAAGAACAACATTTTTCAACATGTTCGTATTGAAAGGGTACCTTTCAATTTCTAAATGAAACACTATTGTAAATTTTAAGAAGGCAAAGTGAACAAATATTTTCTTGTAAATTGGTGTAGAAAATCAGAGTATACCCCGTATTTAGAAGAAAATAATTTGGTGCATGAGTGACATTCCTTTAGTTAACATAGTCATTTATTTGCAGCACATATTTTCTTTTTGAAATATGGCCACATGGAGTTTCAATTTCTCCTGTATTATTAGTACATATATTTGTGAAGTTTCTTAAAGTAAAATCTGTGTGGCAAGATTGTTTTGCTTCTTCTGTAAGTGGCTGAACCTTATTAAAAATGTTATGCTTCTTCTGCAGCTTCTTGTTTCCATTTCATTTGTTATACTTGAAGATATTTGTACAGTATTTTTTTAAAACTTTTTTATCCAAAAAGGAAAATTTATTTTAGAAAATTATAAATACGTTTTTGATGTATTATTTAAAAACTTGGAAAATTCTTCCTAGAAAACATAGGAACATATTGTTAAAATAATTGGGTTTGATATTCTCAAAGATGCAATTTGAAAAATACTTAACGTATTTAAGCATTTTGCTTATGTGAAGAAAGTGTATTTAAGAGCTTAAAGCATTAAATTATTGCATCAATCTTGCATGTGTAGTATTTATTTTGGATGTTCTTTACTGGAGACAAAATGTTTGCCCTTACCATCTTTTGTGCATCATTTCCATGTTTTTTCCTCTCTCAGCTTGTTTAACATTCCTCTTCCAGTATTGTCAAATTCATGAATGAATCCTTTTATGATAGAAATAAGTTGTTGAAATACAAAATGCATAGAGTAGTTGGAGGAAGAGTGTAATAAGGAATTTCCTGAATTAATTGAATTTTCTTTGAATGATGTATTAAAATATTTGGCATCTTCAAGATTTTGAATTGTACGCGAGAACCCAATCTTTACTCTTTTTGTTTGCAAAAGTAATGCCTTTGTACTGGATGATAATGTAATCATCTTACTTGTGTAATGGCATTGCTTTTTCTTTTTTCTTTTTTTTTCCTGTCTAATGAAGAAGAATCTAATTTAACGATTTGCAGGTTGGAGTGGTGGCCATACTCCCCAGCAGCAGCTACAGCAAGCTGCAGCACAACCGGCTCCAACACAGTTCCAGCAAAGTCAGTTTTCTACTCCCACATTGAGCAACACCCTCTTTGCAGGTGCAAATACTACAAGTTCCTTAACAAGTCCACAGCCAGTAGAAAACCAGAGCTTCCAATTACAGAAGCCTCCCTTGGGCAATAAAAGAGGAAAGCGGTAATAGGACTTTGCAATCTTTGAGTGATTATATATTCAGTTATGCATATGAAGTGATTAGTATTTGTTGTGTATGTTTTGTAGAATTAAGAGTACGGTAGTTTCAATAGTGTGCAGTTAATTTTAATTGTTTAATTGTTAATTTCAAATGATAAAAATATTTTTTTAAAGTCTTGTGAAAACTGAATGAAGGATAAATGGATATACAAGCTATACTCCACAGAGCATTTGATGACTGATTCAGAAATTGCTAATTCTTGCATTTTTATTACTGAATTAAGTGTTCCAGTACAAATAATGAAAACAGTTACATCTACAATGAACAAGTTTTGAACAGATCTTTTTATGATACGCACATTGAAGGACTTGTATTTTGGTACATAGGATTTCTTGAGTGAGTTGTTTGGGAAATTTCTTGCTGCTCTTTGGTAAGATTTGAGTGCTTCGTTAGTCATTTGAGAGTTTGTTGTTCATTGCAAGGACAGGTAAAAAATAGTGGAAAATTTTCAGAAGTTGCTAACAGCAGCCTGAAAATTAATATTTTAGTAGATTCAGGAAAACTTAAGTTACAATTTATAAGTCCTCTTACTTTTTAGTGAATATTTGTTTAAATTTTCAAAGAAAATTCCTGATGTCAACTAATTTATCCTCAAAGGACCAGATGCCAATTTAGTTGATGAACTGTCTGTTCTGAAACTGGGATTAAAGTGTTTGGAGTGATTTGTTTGTTATGATAATTTTAACAAAATTTCCTTTGTAATGATACTCTTATATATCTAAAAAAAAAAAAATGCTGTAGACTGATAGATTGTAATTAAGTTCTTTTAATGTTTTATATTGTGCCAAAGAGCAGGGAATCACATTCGTGAGTTGAGTGAATTGTGAAGGTAAAGATTGAAGATAGTGATTATTAATGATTAATTTACAGAATTTGTTTAAATTCCAACTTCGTTATTTAATATAGTTTCATAGTTTTAATTTATTATTAGAGGTTGTCATTTTTGTGAATTTTGAGGTATGTCAAACATTTTGTAGTTAAAATATTTAAGATTTTTTTTTTTTCACATTTGTGTTACATGAATATTGCTTTCAGATGATTGTTAATTTATATTGACATTTTCAATGTATGTTTATTTTTTTAAAGTAGAATGTGTTGTAAATTTACATGTTTGTGTTACAATATAACATTTTTGTGAAAAAATCTTTCAGAATGTCATGTTTACTTCAATGTTCTAAGTTGTGAGGTCATGAAACAATTTGGCGTCATTATTAAATGTATATATTAAGTTTAAAAAAATATAAGATTATAAGTAACTATGTATTTTTTGATAATTTTTTAAGACTGGCTATATTTCCATGTGCGGGGATCAGGAGGGTGGGGAAAACGTAAATGCACATTTTTGCCAATAGGTAGCAGCACTTCTGTAACATTGGCTATCTGTGAGGAATGCGACAACTAGCACAGTGTACGCCAGACCTCGCGACGGCAGCACAGGTTTCTGGTGGTCGCTCAATACGAACTTAACTTCAAGGACACATTTGTTTACGAATTATTTGTTAATACTTGTAGTGAGTTTTAGCAGAGCGGCAGCTTTTAACAAGTGTGTGATTTGTGCATTGTGAAAAATAAGAAACAAGCATTTTTGAGAAGTGTTAGAAATTAGTTGGGAGTGGGGAATTTGGACTGACAGTCCAGACCTATAACTGTGTATAATTCATACTTACATTGCAATTGCTAGGCAGACCTAGTAGAAGTCACCAAGAGTTACTTCATGGTTATGTTAATGTGCATGCATTCCTTACCCATGGTCTCTGAACGCTGATTGGCTAGTGAACATGAGTTGAAGGTGACGTCACGCTTCTCATGATAATGAGGTATTCAATATGGCGAAGTAGCTTGTTCGTGTGTGCCAGTTGCTATTCAGTTGGATGGATTTAAGTCGTGAAATATGCCAAGAAGACGAAATGGAGAGATACCTTTGCCCGACGGATGGGATTTTGCACGGGATTACGATGGGAAAGTCTATTTCATCGACCACAATAACAAGAAAACAACATGGATTGACCCGCGGGACAGGTAAGTGAATCCGGACCACCCTACGGGGCCCCACGTCAAATCGCCAAATTCTTTGAATGTTTGTTAATTTTCAAGCTGTTACTGTCTGAATGATGAAGGAAAATTGTTGATATGAATTTAGTGAATATTGTGTGTAAGATTCAAGTGCAATTAGCGTTAAATTAACAAGTTTTGTGTTAAATTCTGTGGCTGCAATTAATTTTGGCTGGATATGTGGTACATGTGCTGCCATCTCCAAGGAAACATGCTAGCTCTGTCATTCTGTAAAATTTAGGCTATTTTTTATTGTACCCTAAATTTCCGTAAGCGCCGAGTGAAAGAATGAAAATTGGAGAAGACTTGTGAGAACGTTGCCCTATTTGTATCTCATTCAGCGTACGTGCTTTGCTGATTCCAGTAAATCAGTATGACATGGTCCATCAGGTTGTTTTTTTACTGTGAATTTTCTGAATTTTTTTACAATCTTTTTATTTTTGCTTCTGGGAAAAGTCCGTTCAGTTTTGTTCGGTTAAGAGGTTATCCCAGAGCCGATTTCGATGGAAGCTTGCGCCGTGCTTCTACGAGTATAATCATGGGAAAAGTAGATGCTGCTTGCAGTGGTGTTGGAAATGCAGGCCGCAACGTATGGAATGAATTCGGTGCAGTCGCGGAAGCGCTGAGACAGCTTGGCGTCTTGGTAGTTTTCAGATCTATTATTGGAATGTGCTTCTTGTTTTGTGTTGGCCGCGCGCAGTGTACACGCCGATCTGTTCGCGCCTCGATTTGACATGCGGATTTGCGATTTCTCTTATTTTGCCAGTGCATTGCGTCGTCTGTGTATTAATCGGGATGTTGCAAAAATTGCTTAATTATCGTACGTTAACGTCAAATGTTTTGAGTGTTACTCTGACGGCAATTTGCGCAGTCTTAGTTTTAGGTCCGTATGTCTTTTGCGTATTCTGATTGTCAGAAGCTAGGGTAGGTACTTGGTTCGGGGGAACTGTCGCAAATTTGTAGATTGTTATTAGGGGAATGAGCACCGGCTCTCGGGAAATGGAAGAGGAAAGAAGGGTCATTGTTAAGGCACTTAAAGGAAAGGTGTAGTCCGGTTGACAGATGTCACCAAAGTAATTTTGTACCCGAAATACGGACTGGGAAATTTGTTGGGGTTTCTACTTAATAGCACCAATGTCTCAACATTACTTAAAAATCTCGAGTTCGTTCGTTCGTTCCTCTAACAGTTTTGTCGAGGCCGGTATGTTTTTAGTATTTAATAAGTTGGTACTTTATGGAATTAATTGACTGCCGATGAAATGAGAATCATAAAAGTGTAATATTTTGTATTATTAAAAATTGTAATTTGGTTACAGCTTGGAAAAAGCAAAAATTGCATTGCCGACGAGAATTTAGAAGTTTGATTTGAAAACAATTGATACTCATATTAATGTGTTAACTAATATTTTCTTAAATGTTCAAATCAGGCTTGCTCTGTGGTGCATTTCCCTGTACATGCATTTTGTTATTGATACTAGAAAAAATGTTTCTTGACTTCCTATTCTCTTTCGTTCATGAATTGGAGCAGCCATGCATCGTTGCTTTTAGCTGTATTATTCGCATGTATCATTTGTGTTACCAATTTGATATGAATTTCAATGTGCGTGAAGTTCTTGCGAGAGGATCTGTTCGCGTTACTTGGAGCGACGATACGGAGATAGATTCGTAGTTGATAAGAATTTACGTAATCCACTGTATTCTCTGGAGCATTCTTTGTATCAAGCGTATTGTATTGTAATTAGGAGAGGTCAAGATATAACATTAGTCTTAGCAATTGTATATCGTGAACTATTCTAGTGTAGTATTTCGCGTGAAACGCATTACTATGGGTATTAAATTTCTGATGCTAAACTGCGTGAACACAAATGTTCGTACGCTCAGCGAATAAGAAGAAGAATGAAATTTCCGAAAATTTTGGAATACGTCTTCAGAAGTTTCCGTCGGTGTATGAAATTTGGATTTATAATGTAAAATTAAGTAAAATGTGCCGCGATGTTTGTAAATTCTCACCATTACACAGTGGTGTAATAACTGTCATTAGTTATAAGTTGGGTTGTGTTCTGAAAAGTAGGAATATTTGCCTTGCCCACTTATTAAATGCATATACAGCTTTATTCTCGTTTAACATAAACTTATTCCGATGATAGTCAGAGTTTCAGCTGTTAGTGTCCCAAGCTCATGGTTTGGCAGGGCGCGTAGTGTGGAGCGGTGGATTTTTCGGAGGTTGCATGGACACGGGCAAATAAGGTCTCCCGGTAATCCAATCCCCAGAGCGGGCTGGGCTGTTAGGTGGGTGGGCGGGCGGGCGGGCGGGCAGGCCGCGGGTCGCGCCGGCCGCCTAGCTATTCCTGGCATTCGCAAAACGCCCGCCGCTTGAGGCCGTCCGCCGTCGTCGGCAGGAAGGCTCTTTGCCTACTCGGAATTCGCCCCACGGCTCGTCCGCTTTGTTCATTTGCTTATTAGCCTCCGGAATGCGGCTGGCCACGTGGACGCCACCTGGCGCCGCAGCCGGCCTCGCCCCCGCCCTCGTGGCCGCCGCGACCCCCGTCTGAGGATTCGTACACAAAGTGACGGCGCGCCGAGCTGGAGATCAGCAGTGGAAGGATAGTTCTTGCTGTCAAGAATACGCGACCGCCCACATTTTTTCTTAATACTTGTGCATCATGCTGTGCTGTTTTTGTGGAGAGGTCATCATTAAAATATATTAAAATTAAATGGCGCGGTCCATTGCTCAATCGCTTTTGCAAATCGAGTTGTGAAAATCCATATGCTCACCAACTATATTACGTCAAAAAGAATGTTTGGGTTCCGCCCGTCTTCAACGTATTCTAGAAAGCGACGATCTTCGGATTCGAATAAACAATGCACGTAGAAAAAGAACTCCATCTCTGTAGTTATACGCGCATTCTTACCTCACCTGCCGTACTTATGCTACCCGCAGGCGCTCGGAGTATACAAATTCATTTTCTCAAAAACTGGAAAATAACGTGCACGTGCTCGTTCTCGTACGCCAGCGTTTGTGCGCACTGTGGCATGGCATCCGCGGCGGCGGTGGCCGCGCCCCCCCGACCCGTCCGTCGCCGCCGCTCCCCGTCCCCCGCCCACGCGGGGGGGACCGGGCTGGGCCGCCGGCAGCAGCGCTCCGCGGCGAGCCGCGCCGCGGGATGTCAGCGCAGGAATGCGCCGGCGGATTTCGCAAGAAGGCGGAGAAAGTGCGCGTTCGCTCGCTCGCTCGCGCGCGCGTGTTGAGCGCTTGCCGTGTGCTGCGCTGGGCCCCGCGTGCGCGTCGTTGTAGTCGGATTGAATCGGAATGGTCTTCATTGCGAGTGGCGACACTCGCTTTGGGCCACTGCGTCCTGCGGGGCTATTCCGCCTGGTGTCGAGTTAGCAGCCTCTGTTGTGATTTCTGCCTCTTTACCAAAGTTGAATCAACTGCTCTTGTAGATGCAATCCAATGGAATTATGGTTGATTTGGAAATGAGCTGTGCCGTAAACGAATGTATCCTCTAAACTGTAGATAATGCACTTTAAGCATTATATTCTTAGGATTCTTTCACGGATCTCCGGGGCACTGCACTTCCTGGACAGCTAGACTCTTTTCATGGTTGGAAATGGCTACGGAATTTTTGTCGTTTTGTTAAGTTTCATGTCTGAGTTCACCAGACGATCCTGAGTTTGCGGGCCACAGATAGAGGGCAATGAAGAATTAGTTTCCATCGCCGGGTATGGATTTGTGCCTGCTGTGGAGCAGGTGATTTGTTTTGTATTGAAAACTATATTTGTATTGGTCGACCAAAAACTCGCCCTTTAGTCTTATACCTTTACTTCTATCGAATAACTTTTTGCATACTTGCAGTAGTAATTTAATTTATTATCAGTGTTTTGTTCATTCTCTGATGTAGTCTCGAAGTTGGAGCAAATGTAAGACAATTTTTGTAAATTCTTATATTCTGCTCCACGGCGCGTGCTTTTACCCGCACCATTCACAGAATCTTTCTTTATCAGTTAATGTAATCTGTTCTCGAAGCGTGCAACTCGGTTCTCACTGTGTGACTGTGACTGAAATAAATGTTAGATTTAATGACCATTTTACAAAATTCATTGATAATGGCTCGTTGACGTCTGTCGTTTTCACTTGCGGCGTCACAAAGTATTTCATGCATATTGGAAATGATTGGGTTCCACTAAGTAATTGTTCATTTCCTAATCCCAAAACGGCATCGAAAGTGAGATAAATTTAGTTATGAGCGTCACTAGCACAACGTTGAGAGGAAGGGGGGTGGTGGTTCAATAAGTAAGGTACAGATAACCGGAGAGTCTCAACAAATTATTCTATTTATCGTCAGAATTCCATTCATTATTCCACGCAAAAAAGCGGGGGAGGACGTAATCGCCCCGGCGGACGCCCATTAAGTCGGCTCCACACATTGGCCATTCGCCGAATGGGTGCTACTGCTCGTCCTGTACCGAGCAGCCGATGTGCTCGGCGAAAGTTCGCTTCCCGTGATACGTCCAAACACATGGTGGGTGGTGCAAGTACCGGGCGTTCGTCTCTCGCCCAATAGCCCATCCGTTCTACTCGGGGTTCGGCGAGGAGTCGCTCGTTATTCGCGGAATACGGAAAACGCGGAGCCGCCTTCGCACCAAGCCTTCGCTCGCTACTCGCCGTGTGCCTTTCCACCTGCCGTTGGCGTTGCGACCGCAAACCCGCGCGCGCAGGCAAGTCTGACATGAATGAAAGCTGCGCGGGGCGGCATGCCGCGCGGCGAGAGGGTGCGGGAGAGAGAGAGATGGCACGCGTTTGCGCAACGTGTGCGCGAGGAAAGGCGTCGCGGGGGCGATGATCTGCGCCGCCCGCCTGCTTTCGCCCTCCCCGCGCGAAGTGCAAGGAATTTGTCCGTCTGTAGAGACGTGGGGCGCCGCCGTCGAACGTGATCCCGTCTCTGAATGTGGTCGCTTTAATGCCC